TGTATTGTTGTGTTCTTTGAAGGTATAATTTTACGAAGTTAAATTTGCATGTTGTTGTTGGTTCTAATTTATATTTCTTACGAAAATGCTGACAAGTCGACTATTTAGTATGATTATAAATTTTCTGCTGTTGATTAAATTTAGTATGATTAAATTTGCATGAATCAGAAATGTTGTTGTTGTTGGTTCTACTCAATTATTTAGTATGATTATAATTTTCTATTTATCTAACAAGTCAAATTTTAGGAAGTCTCATAATGATGATATACAGAGAACCGAAAAACAAAAACAAAAAAAAGTGAGGTGAGAATTTCAATTTTTTTTTAATTTTAAAAAAAATATTTTCTCATAGAAATGAAACGATATGAAACTGGCCCTATTATTTTTTGCTAGAGGTGAATATGAGGATTCATTAGTGCATTATACATTTTGAGCCAAAAGCATTTCTGATTCATTAGTGCATTAAGTTTGATGTTTAATTTGAACGAAATAACCTAATTAAAATTCGACTAAAATTGTATGGACTAAATTATTAAAATTGAAAATGAAATTTGAGTTAAACTATAAGATTAATTTTGCTTGAAGTCATGATGATTTATAATGCTTAATTTGGACTAAAATCTAATTAGAAGAAAGCAAGGTCATTCTTATAATAGTAACTAAGCCTTTAAATGAGTAGGTATTTTGGAGATGAGTAACAATGATAATGATGAATGAAATGATAATCACCATGATGAAGATTCTAAAGATGAAGACAACACATCGCAAACCCAACAACATAATAATATGCTCTTAGCTACGGCGGCAACAGTTGCAGTGACATATGTGACAAATTATTTGATAAAAGAACCATGTAAGACATCTAATTTAACAGGGAGGAAGTGGATGGTAGAATTACAAGAAGGGAATCGGATAAGAATATTTGAAAATTTTCGAATGGAAAGAGAGGTATTTTATCAATTATGTGATTTGTTACAGACAAAGTATGGCCTTGAAACTGGACGAAAAGTCAACTACTTCAAAAAGGTGTTAAAAGCTGTTACAATGATGTCTATTGATTGGGTAAGGCCTTAACAGAGAAATGGTGTGCATCAATATATTCGAAACAAACGCAAATATCATCCTTATTTCAAGGTAAAAAAAAATTACAAGTGGAACTTGGGTGTTACATATAATAATGTTAGTAGGATATTTCTAATAATCTGTGACTAAAAATATTTTTATTAACTATTTTGTAATAGGATTGTATTGGAGCAATTGACGGAACACACATCAAAGCATATATATCTCAAGATAAGCAAACTCGTTTAATAGGTAGAAAAGGATATGCAACTCAAAACATAATGGCTGCATGTGACTTTGATATGTGTTTTATATTTTGCTAATCAGGATGGGAAGGAAGTGCACACGATACTCGGATCTTGGATACAATTAGGATTCCTAGTTATAATTTTCCAAAACCACAATGAGGTAACTGTTTTATATTTGATTGCTACAGTAGATGCACCACACTCATGTCTTCATATTTATTTTTACATTTATAATTACTTACTTTAATTTCATTTTGAAATTTTAAAATAAATGAGTTTTACTTAGTGGATGCTGGGTATCCAAACATGAAAGGATATCTTGCACCTTACAATGGAGAGAGATACCATCTAGCTGAATTTGAACATGGTCAACCCTCCCAAAATGTACAAGAAAAATTCAACCAAGCATATTCATCAGTTAGAAGTGTAATAGAAAGAACGTTTGAGGTTTGAAAAGCAAGATGACCGATGATAAAGGATATCCCACCAAACTACAAGTGGCCGACCCAAGTCATACTTGTTTGTGCAACAATGGCAATTCATAATTTCATCTGACGAAGTGAGTTCCACGATATTGCATTTGACTCTTATGATAGATTCACGGATTATGTGCCTAATGAAGAGGAATGATCTTCATCTCAACAAGCATGCCATGGAAATGATGTTGCATGTGATGACAACGAGATAGAAGTGAGGAAACATAATATTTGTATGTCAATTTGCAGACGAAATTAGAAGTTTTTTAAATATCTAGGAAGTTTTATTTTTATTGCCTTAATAGTAGTTTATTGTATTTTTATTGCAATGACATTTTTTTGTTCCCTTGTAAACTCAATATTATTAAAAAAATAAAAATAAAAAATAAATAAATTTGAGATAATGTAAAAATGTACCAAATTAGGTACTAATTAATCAACTTCCATTAATGAAATAAATTTTTCAAAATTTAAAGTGAAGAAAATGACAAAATTACAATTTTTATATTCATAATGGCAAAAATGACAATTAAACAACAAAAAACTATTTTACAGCTTATTTACCAAATACTACTCTACTGCTTAAATCTATAATCCCACAACTACACCAAATAGGTTACCGGCTTATATTCATAACTATAAGTTATAATTTATAATTACTTTCCCACAGCTCTACCAAACGGGGCCTAAAAGTTACATCATGCACCTTGAAGTTTTCAATTTCATAACAAATGACTCATTTTATTAATAAATTATTTAATCAATTAACTAAGTCAGAAATATATTTCAATTACGTAACAACCTCGACCTCTGATTAAGGTTAATCCATGATTAATAATGCCTAATAAGTAATCAAAAAGAAATCATGAATTAATTGCATGTGTTATGTGTTATATGAGTTTCTATCTGTTCTGTGTAGGAATATCTGTCCCTAGTTTTTGTCCTATTCTGTAAATTGAAGGCCCTATCGGCATCCGATCACGAAATTGACTTGGTTTTTGTGTTAGCTGAAATTTTTTAAATTTTATGGTAGGTTTAATTAAAATTCGAAACGGAACGAATTAATTAAAATAATTAATGTCTATTTGATTAATGGTAAGCTCAATGATTTAAACCTTCTTAATTAAGCCTATATAAGGCATGTGAGAGCTCTAGGACACATTTTACACCTTTATTTCTATAATCCTGAGCTCAAAAACATGAGAGTGGGGGAGACCCAGTGTTTGAGACCAAAACAAAAGGAAGACCAAGAATTGGCTTGAGATTAAGCTAGAGACTTTGAGGAATTTGGAAGGAACTGTGAAGATTACACTTCTATACTTGAGAATTCAAGTCTAGGTAAGAATTCAACCCTTAGGTTGAACAATTATGAAGTGTAAGACATGAACTCTAGAGAATTATAATGGATAATGTAAGAATTAAACTAGAAATGAAGAGAATTGAACCATATCATGCATGCATGCATATATCATGATATTTTTAGTAGAATTCTAAAGAATTTTCACATGCATGTGTCTATCTTAACTTGGTTTTGAGAATTCATCACATTTCTTATCTTTTGACCTTAATTGATCATGTTTTGGAAAGTTTAAGTTCAAAATAATTCATGCATGTCATGTTTATGGCACATTCATAAATTTCAAGTTGGAGTTTTGGTCAATTGACATGCTTTGGGGCCTTGATTTCATGAAATGATCTTGAATTCTCAATGTTTTCCAAGTTTAAATGTGTTTTCTCAATGCTTTTGAGTGTGAAAATCACACAACCAATACTTTTGCAGAAGTTTACAGACCGCCCGAGCGGAAAAAGTTGTGCTCGAGCGACCACTCATGTTTTGCATGTCCGTTCGAGCAAAGGAAGTTGCATTCGAGCGGGACCCCTGTTTTCAGTAAGTTTTGTTAAGGGTTCCAAAGTACATTTTGACATCCACATTGTATCATAGGCATTCCTAGGCCATGATTAAGACATAATATTGAGAACAAGAAGTAGAAACACACCAAGATAAGAAATGATTAAGTTAATGTTTCCGGATGTGTAATTCAGTATGTGTTCATTCTGTAACTGTGTAGGTCACGTGCCACAAGACGTCTGACTTGTCCATTCTGTCTGTTGCCTTGGAGCCATCTGTTAATTGTGAGTAATAACTTAGTAAAGTTATGTTCAACTTACTTATTTTTTGTATATAGAGTAAGATCTGTTCTATGAAATGTTATGTTTGTACCATGAATGATTGTCCAATTTTGATAAGTATTCGGGGCTCGAGAAAGTTATCCATACCCAATTTGGAGGTTCCTTTATGAAATTGACAAGTTATCCGTACCGAGCCGGAGGTCCCTTTATAGGACTGACAAGTATGTTCTTTGATGCCCCATATGTGATCTGTTAGCGCTAACAAATGTGTGATTAAGTATGTATTCCGATTTCTGTTATTGACTTGAAAAAGAATGTGAATGTAAATCTGTTTATTATACGAATTCTAGTTTCTGATTATGTTATGTACATCATCATTCATCAAACCCCTTTACTCCGTTATTATTCATTGGACTCTCGCTCACTATTTATTTATTATATATATAGGTGAGCAGGCACGTAACCAGGCCTAAGTTGCTGCTTGGCGAGTTTTGATGTCAGCCAGCCATCGTGTCTCTTATGGAGGTTCCCTTTTGAGATCCGATCAAGTTTTTGAGTCTTGGGGATTTTTGTACCTTCTATTGTTTATGTTTTGTTTGAACATGTTTTTGGAAAGTTCTGTATATATGTAGCTTTGGTGACGTAAGACTGATGTATCATGACGTCACACGCGCACACACACACACATATATATATATATAAGTTTGTTTTAAAGATTTCTGTCTCACATACATTAACACAGTTCTATAGCCAATGTATATTCCTATATTTGCTTCCGCAGCCTCTTATTATGTGTCCTTTTGTTAAGAGGCCTTTGGTAATCCAAAGATTACTGGCCGGTTATGACACTAAACCTATAGGGGTGGGTTTGGGTCGTAACAAATTAATAATTCAAGTAATTTTATTACTGTATAGGAAGATAGTTACAAATTTTATTTTTTTAGTTAATTTTGTTAAATAAAAAATTCTGATAAAAAAGTATTTATCAGGGTGTATATATTAAGGGTGTATATATAATTTATTCTATTATTAAAGGATCTTGATATAATTAAACATTTTATTTATTTTTTAACTAAAACCAATGTCTGTGTTGCGAGACAGACAAAGGGAGGGAGATGAGGCTGGGCTTCTCTCTTCCATCTCTCTCCAAATTCTCACCAATCTTCTCTCACTACAATCCAGTCCAACCCATCTCATCTTCCTCATCCACTTCCCTAAAAACCCAAACCCCACTCTTTCTCAGACCGCCCACTCACTCCACCACCCTCTCACACCTCCAAAAATGGCAAAACTGGGCCAAAACCCTAGCCTCCTCAGTCACCTCCACTGACAATGGCCCAGACACAACCCTCTTGCTCAGAGAACTCAATTGGCTCATCGAAGACGCCCTCGTAAACCCCAAATCAATCTTACCCCAATTGGGTAATGAAGACATGGTTGTGACATTGAGAGCCGAATTGAAAGATTTGTATGTGTTATGGAAGCAGAGGATTGAAGAGAGGAGACCCTTTCAGTATGTGGTTGGGTGTGAGCATTGGAGGGACTTGGTGTTGAGTGTTGAAGAAGGGGTTTTGATCCCTAGGCCTGAGACTGAATTGGTTGTTGACTTGGTGAGTGATGTGGTTGAGGGAAATGAGGAGTTGAGGGATGGGTTGTGGGCTGATTTGGGGACTGGAAGCGGCGCGCTTGCTATTGGGATTGGGAGGGTTTTGCGGACTTGTGGGAGGGTTGTTGCCACTGATTTGAGTCCCGTCGCGGTGGAAGTCGCATCTTATAATGTTCAGAGGTATAATTTGCAGGTTTGTGATTTTTGAGTTTCGATCTAATCAATGTTTTACTTTCTGTTTTTTCTGTTATTAACTTATTTATCTGTTCGGAAATCATGTGGTGAATTTCAATTGTTAAGGGATAGGAATCTACGAGCAATCAACACTAGTAATGGTCAAATGGAGGGGGGGAAAAATGTAGTTTGATTAAGCAAAAGGTGAATTTACAAGGTCATGTTAATGCACGAGCATGCCACAAGACAATGCATAAGCATAGACAAAAGACTAGCAAATTAATGGGGAGAGGTACTTACATTGTTGGCCTTTACCTAATATTTGATTTCTAAGCCATTTACAAAATGCTAGAAAGAAACATCACCCCTTGCTTGATGAGTGATAATAGCTTTAATAATTGTGAGAATGACAACTACACAAAATGGCTATATTCGCACTAAGTTGTCATGGTGTGGATAGTGGCCTGTGACACTAAACCATGTCTTCTTATTATCTTAACCCCAAGGGGTTGACCTGGGTGTGTTCCCTCCATGGTCTTAGGTTCGAAACCTTCTAGTTGCAAACAATTTCTTGTGGGTAGTCCATACAGGACTTTGCCCGGGTTATTCGCCCTCCGCTAGTAGACGGTGGGATTAGTTCCCTAGATTAGTTTGTCCATTGGGCCAAATACCAAGTTTAAATTAAAAAAAAAAAAAAAAAAAATATCTTCGTATTATCTTCTACCATGTTGGGGCCACAACATTGTGGAAACTCCAGCATTTTGGTTTACTGAATAGTGTTCCTAGCTTTGGACAAATGACTGCCCAAAAAAAAGATAAGCTCTGATGCCACCTAGATGAGAACACATCAGAGGGTGAGGATGAGCAATTGATTTCTTGTAGATAGAGAAATATTTAACTTTTCCAAATTCATATTCCGGATCAGTTAAAAAAGTGAGATGAGCTGAAAGTAGTGGTTTTTAATGCTCTCTATAATAACCTGCGACTCTCAAGCATCCCCTTAAATCTCTACTGCAGGATAAAATCGAGATAAAGCTGGGATCCTGGTTTGAACCTTTGAAGGATTTTGAAGGAGAACTTGCTGGTCTTGTGAGTAACCCACCATATATACCGAGTGAACATATCAGTGGGCTACAAGCAGAAGTTGCTAAACATGAACCTAGACTCGCATTAGATGGTGGTGCTAATGGCATGGATGATCTTCTCCATCTCTGCCGTGGAACTGCTTCAATGTTGAAACCCGGTGGATTCTTTGCATTTGAGGTATCAATTTTCTTCTAAATCTAGAATTTGCTTTTCCTCTCCACAAACTTTCACAGTTTCAACCACCAAATATGCATTTGAGATATAAATCTTCCTTCTTCTGAAGTTTAAATGTGCTTATATTCCTAGAGCCTCTCTTAATCTAGCACATACATTGTATACTAGATGCTCATCATGTGTTTTCATTGCAGAAGCATTTGTATGGAAACTATAATGTAATGTAATACTTCTTCGGTTCTTCCGTGCTAGATCAGCAATATTTTGCTTAAACTTGTTTGTGATTGACAGAGTTTGTGGACATGGTTTGAGTCCGTTTTCATAGCAGCAAAACATGATATATATGAATTTTCACTATTTTTGTTTTTTTTTTTTTGAAAAAACTTATCATTACAAGGTTTTTTTTTTTTTTTGAAAATTGTCTTGCTGCAGACAAATGGGGAAAAGCAGTGCAAGTTTCTTGTGGATTACATGAAAAATGAATTGAAGGGCGGCTTCTGTGATGTAGATATTGTATCGGATTTTGCTGGTATGCAGCGATTTGTGACTGGATTCAGAAGCAAGACCAATTGTCAATGAGAAATGCTGGAGACCCACAATTTAGATCCACAAATTCAATGTAGTATTCGAGAAGCGGAGAAAAGAAACATGAGGTATGAGCATAGTCAATGTAGTATTCAGGAAATATGAAAAAATCCATCATGTTATTGCCTTCTTTGATACTGATGCAGCCGCTTCAATCATGAAACATTCCATTTTACCCAGTTCTCATTGGGAATCCTGTTATCGTCCATTTCTAGCTGCAAATGGAGAGTTTGGTCATTGCCACCCTCATCAACAAGCCATAGGTATAACCATGACAGTCGCAAGTTTTACTGAAGCCTACCTCCGGTTGTTGATGAAGCAGTTGACCAGAATTCTTGTACTTACTAGTAGGTCAAGGGTTCGAGTCTTACCACAATCAACACTTCCCGTCTCTAGGCTACAATATACCAGAGAAAAATGAAGATGTGTAATAATGAAAATTTTATGTTACTGAACTTTGAATTCCAGGGGTTGTCTTGTTTCTTGTGATTGTGGTTAAAAGTGAATTGTAACTCAGCCAGGATAACATTTGAAGTCCATTATTTGGGGGATGCTATTACTACAAAGAGCAAACATCCATAGGCGATGCTAATGATTTCTCACATATTTGTCTAAACTTGAACTCTTGTAAGATTCAACCTTCTGTGTTTTATCCTTTTATATATATATATATATATATTTACAAAAAATTAATAATTATGAACAAAAATTTGCTTGGTGCTCATTTTCATTTCTAAAAAATGTTAAATAGTTCACAAATTTTATCAAATATTTGTAATAAAAAAATTATTTATTTATTTTGCAATAAATTTTCATTCATTTCTCTTTCTTTCAACCCCTCCTGCCCCCACTATCACCGGAGCTGATTGCATCATTATGTTGTATTTGGTTGAAAATTTTAAAAAGAGATTTGAACATGAAAATGAAAAAAGTGCATGGAATTAAGTAAAATATATGTATATTTTGTTTGCATTTTATTATTATTGTCTTTTCTTTCTAAATCTCTTTTCAAAACACAACATTAGTCACGTTTATCTTCAACCATCATCTCCCACCATCAACCACTGTTAATCATTATTTTCAATTGTCAATAATATCATTGTAAAACTCATGCTCTATTTATTTGGATGAAAAATATTTTCTAATGAAAAATATTTTATATGAGAAAAAAAATTAAATATTTTTAGAGAATATATGGTTGTGTTTGGTAAGGCTTTCCAAAACTAATTCTACTAGTACATTCTAATCCTATGTTTGGTAAGAGGTTCAAGTCATAATTTCAAATCAATTTCAAAACACAATTAGAAAATATGTTTGATAATCCAGACTTTTTTTGAATTTTTGGTCTATTCGATCGTCCTCTCGGATGTCACTAGCCGGTTGACTGGAACAATACAATATTTATTTTATTTTATTTTTTACAATTGTCAATCGCCACCTGTTATTTAGAGCAAAAAAAATTATATTTGTTTTTGATATTTTTTAAATATATAAATTATTTTTTTAGACTAAAATGACATATTATTTTTTTAAATTGAATTTAAAAAAGAGTTTGGTTATAAATTTTCAATAGAATATTGAGTTATATGTTTGGTTATGAGGTAAAGATTTTTGAATTAAGTTTTGAAAACTGTTTTCAATACTAATAGCCAAATAACTTTTCTCATTTTATATGTCACATCAAAAATTCAAAATTCAATTCAACACTCATTTTAAAACTATTTCCAAAACTCATAATCAAACAAATTTTCTTTTTTCAAATCATAATTCCAAAACTTATAAACTCAAAATACAACTCTATTATCAAACTATAATTCTAAAACTCTACCAAACACTACCTATATATATTTTTTTGGTGATAGTAATAGTGGACTTAAGGCTTAGTTTAGTTTTGGTAATAATGGTGGAACGACAACAGTGATAACGACGATAATGGTGCTGTAGTTATGGTGATGGTGATAGTAACCGTAATAATGTAGTGACATTAGCCTTTTAAAAGTGAAAAATATTTTTTACTTATATAAACTTATTTTCTATTAAGTATAAAAATATTTTTAATTAACTATCATTTTTTATTATATCAAATATTTTTCGTCCAAGTAAACAAGCGTGAATAAATTCTAGGAAAATATTTGAGGGCCCGAAATGCCTGGCTCGAATGTGGCTCGAAATTTTATTTTATTTTTTTTTCTTTTTTTCTGCCATTTTCGACGCAGAGGAAGGTCGAAGCGGAGGAAGAGAGAGAGGGAGAGGGAGAGAAAGAGGGAGAGGGAGAGGGAGAGGGGTCGCCGCCGTCTCCGATCCGTCGCCGATCGCCGCGCCTCCGCCTCCGTCGCCTCCGCCATGCCTCTGCTCGCCATGCCTCTGCTCGTCGCCTCAGCCATCGCCGATCGCCGCCTCTGCCATCGCCGATCGCCGCGCCCCCCGCCTCCGCCTCCAGCCCATTAAAAAAAAAAAAATTAAAATCACGAAACGACATCGTTTCGTGATTTAGGGACATTCGGGACGGAGGAATTCGGGCTCTCAATCATCCTCTAAATTCTATTACTTCCATGAAAATTTTTATAAATACAATATATAATGTCAGGGTTATGTTGTGCGACCCCATCTCATACAATTTGGATAATTTAAAAAGTTATTTATAATAATAATAATAATAATAATAATCAATTTTATACATATCGAAAATCAATTCGACGCTTCTCTCTGGGATCGAAAATCCGAATTCTCATTCTCAGAGAGGGGGAGAGAGGTGAGTGCAAATGCCGCCACTGAAAATCTCTCGCGGATTCTCCTTCTTCGGCGGCGGTGGCGGTGACGGTGGCGATTCGGCAAAGAAGCTCAACAGTTGCGGTGGTTCCGAGGCGGAGCAACCGTCGCTGAAGCTACATACCGATAGAGATGTGTACAGGACCGGCGATCCAGTGATCGTGACTATTGAGATCCGTAACAATTCACCAAGTCCTTCAGGTCTAGGTTTGACTCAATACAACAATGCGACTAGCTCCAGCAATAGCGATGATGAGTATTCGTTTTTGATCGAAAGGCTTACCTTCGAATTGAAAGGGATCGAGAAGTTGGATACTCAGTGGTTCACTACGAAGAAGTCATCTCCTGATTCGAAGCAAAAGCGAGGTTCGTTTTGCTAAAAAAATTGTTCTAGTATTTTAGTTCTATTTCAATTCTCAATTTAATTTTTCAATTTGTTCTTTATCTCGTTGTTTTGATTGATCTATGATTTTTCTAGTTTCCTGCTGCTGACATTTCAAATAATTGCATCATACAATCAATTACAACACAATTTCATATAATTTTGATTGAAAATCAACAGTTGTATGTAAATTTAATCACATAATCATTCAATTGTCACTCAAATTCAGACTAATATTTAGAATATTATTATCATGTATGTGGTATAAAAGTTGTAGAGAAAGTTATTCCATCATTCCATATTGAACTCACCAACATCAATAACAGCTAGAACAAATGCTGATCCTAAACTCATATTGAGATCTTCTGTTCAAATTGAACTACAATTAAAAGTATCAAGTTCTACTAAAGGGACACAAATTATTAAATATGAACCAACCTTCTGGTCTACAAATGAATCATGATGATTGCATTACTCCATTTGTAAGTCATTTACCACAAAAACAATAATTCACATTACCAAAAATAAAATGTGCATTTAGGATAAATGAGAGTATCAATTTCAAAAAAATATGATGGTTAGTTTTTGGAAGAATGAATAAATGTTATTTTTGGAGCATGAATGTAGAATATGTTGATATTTGTATAATTTCAAATGCTATGGTATGGTCACCATATAGAATTGAATTTTTTGGGGATGCCATAGGACGACATTATCAACTTTCAAACCATATGTGTTAGTATATACCTGGGATATACATAGATTTCTTTCAAAGTGGGTGGTGCCATGGCACCCCTTGGTGCTAACACAGGTCCACCGCTATATCTATACACGTGAAAATGTCCAGAAGCATTTCCTTGGAATTTCCTGTTTTGGAAAATATATGTAATCTTATATAATGAAAGCAAATTTAGATATTATACTTTTGTATATCAAGATGAACGCTTGAAAATAGGGATATTGAATTTTTGAGTCAACATACATTGAATCTCTTTCCCATGAAGCTTTTTTCCCCCCCATTCAGCATATTTTTATTGGTTGCTGAAGTTAGTTGTATTATTTTGCAAGAGTATCTAGAAACATCCCTTGAGTTGTATTATTTTGCAAGAGTATCTAGAAACATCCCTTGAGAAAGGGAGTCTTCTTATGTGCAAGTGCCATCAATCTCAGTAGGGTTTTCAGGTATTAGAATTTGTCAAGAAACTCTTGTTGGATAAGCAAAAACAAGAAGTAAAGAAATAACAATTTATTTTTTATTTGTTACTAATTATGTATTATAAAATTCTTTGCAGGTGAGTTCGTTTTTATGGACAGCTCAGCAACATCTATAGTTTCAAATCAAGTAGTTTCCTCTGGGTCCACTAAAACATGTAAGTCAAATCATCATTTTTTCCATACCGCCTCTGTATTTATTATATGCTTATTTTAAATACACTTTGATTGTTAGTTTAAATATCTGAAAAACACAGTGTTGTTACAAAAACAGTGTTATTAGTTTAAATATCTGAAAAACAGAGTGTTATTATGTAAGTGTATTATTACAAAAGACGAGAACATTACAACATAGCTCGAAACACATACCCATAGTAGACATAGATGAAGAGGATCAAGAGGACACACACACTCATAAAGAGAAAATAAATACTCTCAGCTTATGTTTTCTCATACTTGTTAAATTTTGTTTGACTTAAGGGGTGGTGGTTTGTCTTGCTATGGTGTGTGACATGTGCATCACTCCTAAATTTCCTGTTCTCAAGCTAATGGATCTCTAAAGCCCTCATGTTTTTGTGCAGATCTGGTGCGGACTTTACTTCCGAGCACTATACCACCATCATACAGGGGTGCTACCATCCGTTATTTTTATTATGTTAGATGCACATTATCTGGACAATATCTGATACTGGAGAATGGACACCCTCATGGAGAATCAAGTAGAGATCTTGCTGAGCTGGTTAGTTTTCTCACATTTTCTAATTTCTCTTATGATCCCTGAAATAATTTTGTCATGATCTGTAATGATAGTCCAGTGCTTCTCTGCTATGCGGTTTTCCGTGCGGATCATATTCGTAGCTCTGATCTGTATTTCTTGTTTTAAAAATGGCTTCTTGAAAGTTTGTATCCCAAAATCTATTTGGCTATTAATTTTTGTAATCTCTGAGAATGGTCATTATGTATGAGACATGTGGTGGCACCATATGTGCCATGCAGTTTTACGTTCTACAATTTTTTTTTTCTTCTTTTCTTTTTTCTCATAGACATAGTATTGAGATACTTGATTGCATGCTTGCTAAATTGTTGGAGCCAACATTGGGAAGTTGTAAGCTGCTTATATTTCATAGTTATTGAAATGGCAAGAGTTTGAAGCAAGTCTTTTGATGAAAGTTTATTAATTTTATGTGGAAATCATGCATTTTTTATAATAAAAAAAATTTAAATGTGGTTTTTATGTCAGCATGCCCATTATT